GCACACTCACTCGCACGCTCACACTCGGTATGCTCACACTCGCACGCTCACACTCGCACGCTCACACACTCAAACACTCACACTCGCACACGCTCACACACTCACACACACTCACACTCGCACACACACTCGCAAGCTCACACTCGCATGCCCACACACACACACGCGCGCGCACACACTCGCATGCCCACACTCACACACACACTCGCACGCGGCTGCATTCTACGTGATCCTGAAAAGCGCACAACTTTAATTTGCGGTAGCAGAGCGCCACTCCTGGCCGCAGTGCGACTTTCTCTCCCTCTCACTCGCTCACTCGCTCACTCGCTCGCTCGCTCAGCGACCGAGCGAGAGGTGGGGGAGGGGGGCGGGTGAGTGGGGGGGGGCTGTTGCCGCTAGCCCGCGGAGAAGAGAGCCGCCCGTAAGATTCTCCTACACAAACCCTTCCCCTCCTCCCTCTCCTCTCTCCTCCACCTCCTCCTGCTCCCTCCCATCTAATGAGAGACATATGTGCACCAAGCAGCCGTGCGTCCACGGCAAGCAGCGCCCCCCCCCCCAAACCCCCCCCGGGGAGACTGAGCAGTTGGACTGGAGGAGGTGTAGGGGGTGAAGATAGAGGGAGGGGAGGGGGGGTAGAGGGAAGGGCAGGGGCAGGAAGACACTCACTCACACACTCTTGTCACGCACTCAAGTACACGCTCACTTACGCACGCACACTTAGTCACTCACACACTCAGTCACTCAGTCACGCGCACACTCAGTCACGCGTACACACAGTCACTCGCACACACTCAGTCACTCGCACACACTCAGTCACTCGCACACACTCAGTCACTCACACTCGTGCACACTCAGTCACTCACACACTCACACTTACTCACTCACACAGTCAATCAGTCACTCGCACACTCACACGCTCACACACTCAGTCACTCAGTCACGTGCACACTCAGTCACTCGCACTCAGTCACTTACACTCAGTCACTCACACACTCACACTTTGTCACTCACACACGTGCACACTCAGTCACTCGCACAGTCACTCACATACTCAGTCACTCAGTCATGCGCATACTCAGTCACTCGCACACTCACACACTCACAGTCACTCAGTCACACACACACGCTCAGTCACTCACACACACGCACTAAGTCACTCACACGCTCACTCAAGCACGCACACTCAGTCACTCACACTCAGTCACTCACGCACTCAGTCAGTCACTCACACACACACGCTCAGTCACTCACGCACTCACACGCTCACTCAAGCACGCTCACTCAGTCACTCACACACTCACACTCAGTCACTCACACTCAGTCACTCACACACACACTCAGTCACTCACGCACTCACACGCTCACTCAAGCACGCACACTCAGTCACTCACACTTAGTCACTCACGCACTCACACTCAGTCACTCACGCACTCGCACGCTCACTCAAGCACGCACACTCAGTCACTCACACACACACGCTCAGTCACTCACGCACTCAGTCACTCACACACTCAGTCACTCACACACTCACACTTAGTCACTCACGCACTCAGTCACTCACACACTCAGTCACTCACACACACACACAGTCACACACACTCAGTCACTCATGCACTCACTCACACGCTCACTCAAGCACGCTCACTCAGTCACTCGCTCTCTTTCCCCGCCGAGATAATGAACCCCCCTAAGCTCTCCGGCGCGTCTGCGATTTTGGCCGCGGCGTCCCGACGTTTCGCACCGCGGGACGAAGAAGGACCAGGGGGGTGGGGGTGGGGGGGGGGAGAATTCACCCTCCCGGCACGCGAGGAGCCGAATCGTCGGCGGCGTCATCGTTCCGACTGCGGCGTGATGAGCCCGTCGTGAGCGGAGAGAGACGAGACCCTGTTCCTCCTGCTCCTCCTGCTCCTCACCTTCCCTGCCACGGCCGCACAGCCAGCAGCCAGCCCCGAGCACTCCATCCATCCCGGGGCCATGTCACTTAGCCTTTTAAACCGCGCAATGAAACGGGATGATAAACAGAGCACGCACGCTGCTTCGCCATCTCATTACGCTAATCAGATCCATGCCTCGGCAAAACACAAAAAACCTCGCCGCCAATTTCAACCGCTCACCCCCCCCTCCCCCTCCCCCGCGCCCTGCTCCCTGCCCCCTCCCCTCCCTCCGCTACACCCCGCCAAGCGCGGCTCCCCCAGGACAGCGCGGGCTTGGAAGGGCTTCGAGATCTCTCCGCCATTGGCAGAGGGCGGGGAGGGCGGGGTGGGGGGCACCTTGAGCAAGCGGCGGTGTTTTTGGGTTTCGCCACAGTTGGGCGGGGGCTCCCACTTCGTCTTCCCTTCGCTGATTCAACTAAGGGGCCCCCCCCCCCACCGCCCCCCCCCCCCCCACCGCCCCCCCCCACACACCCCGAAGGGGCCCCACAACGTCAAGGGGCCGGTAACAAACGGCACCGCCTGAGTTGGCAACAGATAAGAGGGACGATGATAACGACGACGATGACGACGACGACAATGACCCCACAACAACCGCTCCCCCCCCGCAACAACAGACGCGTTGAGGGTTCGAACCCGGGCCGCGAACGTCAGCGGCGGTCGGTAAATCGGCACCGACGGAGGCACGTGGCCTCGGCTGTACGTGGGAGGGGCGGGGGGGGGAGGGGGCTGTGCTCGGTTACGGTGATAACAACACGTTAATGAGCCCGGAAGTTGCAAGCAAGGCTGCTCATCGCACCCCCAACGGCGGCGCCGCCAATCACCGCCGCCGCCGCCCTCGACAGAGACATCGCCGACGGCGGCCGGAGGGCTCTCGCCCGTGGGGGGTCGGAGGCGAGAGGTCGCGAGCGAGTGAGCGAGCCGTCGGGCCCTCCAAAGGCGGCGGCGGCGGCGGCGAGCCACCCCGCGGGACGACGAGGCCGCAGGGGTCACCGTGAGCAAATCCGAGGGGCGGGAGCTTGGAAAAGCTCCGCGATTCCACGCTCACCCTTCGATTTGAAGCTTTCGTGACTGCAGGAATCCATGCTCTCTGGTTCTCTCGGTAAAGTCAACACGTGGGTGGAACAAATGACGAAGGCTTCGTAAAATGCACGCTCACGTCCGAGGGACAAAGTCCGCGGGGTGGCGTAGCCGGGGAGCGCGTTGCGATCCCGCTCGCGACATCGCCTCGCGCTGGCAGGTCGGCGCAAGGCCGTTTTATTCATCTGACCGACAAAGCCTGGCCGGGTCGCGGGGCTTGCTCATCGGCAGAAGGGTGCTACCGCTACGCTGGGCCGTGAACTCCGCACCCGACGAGGGTTTGGCGGGGGAGGCGATCCGGGGAAGCCTTTGCCACGGGCCCTCGAAGCAAAACTAAAAAAACTGTGTTTGTATTTTACAAAGCTAGGGGCCCCGCCCGAGCTGTAGAGATCTTTTTCAGGAGCGACCTGGCCTGCAAACGGCAGCTTGTCACGCGGGAATTCACAGCAACGGTCAAATAGCCTGAACGCGTGACGTCCGTTTATAAACGTGCCGGGGGGAAAAACCGGAGGACCCGGAGAAAAATCCACGCGGGCAATGCCGGGGAGGAACACGCAAACTCCGAATCTACAGCGGGTGTCACGGTCGGGATCGAACCCGCAAGCCTCCCGTGTAGCAGGGCAAGGCAGTGAAACATCTCCTGGGCACCGGGACGATTCGCCCTCACGATTCGGGTACGAGATTTATGCACGCACGCACGCAAGCAGGAGCGCACGAACGCAAACACGCACAGGTGCTCGCACACAAAGACACGGGCACGCTCAGGGGACCGCTTCGGATAGCCGCCCGCGAGCTGGAATCGAACTCGGTCCACAGGACATACGCACAAGCACGCGCAGACGCGCGCCCCCCTCAGCTGTCCAAACAAACACAGCCCAAGAAGCACTCTGCCTCTGTTTATGAAACGCGACGGATCTTCGCACTGAACGTAAACCGTTTAAAATTGCCTTCCGGCTACAACTCGGGGAAATAAGGGGGGGCAGAGTTGGGGGGGTGGGGGGGGGGTCTCGCCGGCGCTACCCAATTGGCTCCACCGATCACGACGGCCCAGGCGGCGACGGCACCGCGGGCCCGATAAGCGGCGGTGACCGGGGGGGGGGGGGGGGGGGGGGGTGGGTGAGGGGGGGTGAGCCCACGTACGGCGCTCGGCACCCAACCGGGAAGAACAGCGCGGCAACATCGCCCCCCCCACCCCCACCCCCCTCCCCTACACCCCCCCCACCCCACCCACCCCCCCACCCCCCACCACCGCGGGACTGCGTGCGCTTGCAGGATCAACGCGCACGGCAAAAGTAATTGGCGACGATTTGACGACGGCCGGCGACCGGGGTCCATCCCCCGCCGCCGCCGCCGCCGCCGCCGCCGCTGCTTGGATCGATTCCCAAGTCCTCCGCCGCCCCCATTCTAACGTCTCCCTCGAAGGCCGCGGCGGCACCGCCACCGACAGACACGCCGCGTCTCGTTCACGCGCTGTGCACGCCGAGCTTCCGTCGCGACGTACGGAGGAGGAGGTGGAGGAGGAGGTGGAGGAGGATGAGGAGGATGAGGAGGTGGTGGAGGTGGTGGTGGTGCGTGGAAAGGAAGAGGAAGCCGGAAGCGCGCACGAAGGAGACGCTGCCGCCGCGGCTCCGCGCTCAGCAGCGATCCAGAGGACCCGCCGGTGCGATTCACATCTCACGGCACGGCGGCCGAAACGTCGGCGGTTTCTCAATTACCCCCGCCCCCCCCCCCCAACTCCGCACGCCACCCCCCAGAAGGATCTCCGGGTTCGCCATCGCGCGGTGCCCGCACGTGACGTGGGCCCGCACGTGACGTGGGCCCGCACGCAGAGAGGGCCCGCACGCAAGGGCCCTCTCTGCTTTGGGCTCGCCGCGCCTGCCGCGCCTGCGTCAACTCGGCGGGCGGCCAACTCCGTTTGGCGCTCGGCTCCTCCTGCGGCCGCTTTGGCGGCGAGGCGCTTCTCGCGCCGGCGACCGAGGCCGCCCTCACCTGCTGATCTCGCAGGCGACGCGCCCCTTGACCTCGATGACGTCACTGGGCGAGCAGTAGCCCAGGCGGCGCAGCACGCGCTTGCGGTTCTTCAGCTCGTCCGCCTGAAGCACGGTGCGGGCGCGCTTCAGCTCGCGGCGGGCGCCCTTCACCTCCACCGCCAGCTGCACGCACGCACGCACGCACACACGCACACGTGTTAGCGGCGTTGTGTGCGTTAGCAGTATGTACGTGTGTCAGCAGTGTGTATTTGTTAGCGGCGTTGTGTGTGTTAGCAGTATGTACGTGTGTCAGCAGTGTGTATTTGTTAGCGGCGTTGTGTGCGTTAGCAGTATGTACGTGTGTCAGCAGTGTGTATGTGTTAACGGTATGTGTGTGTGTGTGTTAACGGTATGTATGTGTCAGCAGTGTGTATTGTGTTAACGGTATGTGTGTGTGTGTTAACAGTATGGGTTTGTTAACGGTATGTGTGTGTGTTAGCAGTGTATATGTGAGTTAGTGGTATGTGTGTGTGTGTTAGCGGTGTATATGTGAGTTAGCGGTATGTGTGTATTGTGTTCACAGTATTTGTGTGTGTTAAGGGTATGTGTGTGTGTGTTCACGGTATGTGTGTGCGTGTTAGCAGTGTATATGTGCGTTAGCGGTATGTGTTAGCTGTGTATATGTGCGTTAGCGGTATGTGTGTATTGTGTGTGTGTTCACGGTATGTGTGTGCGTGTTAGCAGTGTATATGTGCGTTAGCGGTATGTGTTAGCTAGCGGTTGTGTGTGTGTTCACGGTATGTGTGTGCGTGTTAGCAGTGTATATGTGCGTTAGCGGTATGTGTTAGCTGTGTATATGTGCATTAGCGGTGTATGTGATAACGGTATGTGTGTGTGTTAACGGTATGTGTGTGTGTTAACGGTATGTGTGTAACGCTATGTGTGTGTGTTGGCTGTGTATATGTGAGTTAGCGGTATGTGTGTGTGTGTGTGTTAAGGGTAATCGTGTGTTACAAGTGTGCGTGCGTGTGTAGGGTGGTTAGGCGGGCAGCCGTGGTGCTGGCCACCCACCACCTGGTGTGCCCTGCCGGCCTTCATGAAGTGCTCGCTAACAGCACTTGCCCCAACAGCCTGTTAAGGCTATATGGGGGATCTTTGTCTTTGGTATGTGTGTGTGTGTGTGTGACTGCATCCGATGGAGGACCACACAAAGTGCAAATGGCACTCAGCCCCTACGCAGAGATTAGGGGCCAGCGTTGTTTAGGGGCAGCATGGCCAGAATCACACACACACACCAGACTAGAATCACACGCACGACACACATGCACGCACACACACGTACACACACACTCACGCGCACACACACACACCAGACTAGAATCATTCACACGCACGCCACACACACAAGACATGTACGCACACAAACACGCACGGGCCCACACTACAACCATATTATGTAAGACATGCGCACACACACACACGCACGCACGCACGGGCCGCACAAGAACAACAACCGCCGTTCGCCACTAAGTGGTGTTGACGTCGTTCGCGGCGTTTGTGCCAAGCGCGGTGCGCGCGTCACATCCGGACAAAGATCCCCCGCGTAGCCTTCACAGAACGCTGCGGCAAGTGCCGTTAGCGAGCACCTGCGAAGGCCGGCACGGGGCGCACCCACGCCCGGCCGCCTTTGTCTCCCCCAGTGGCGATGTTTACTACGCACCGCACCGGGTGACTCATTTGAGGCCGGGTCGACCTAGGGGAGGGCCCAGGACCGGTTCAGATAATCGTCGCCGGTGTTGGCCGTGAGCCGGGAATCGAACTCGGGTCGCCGGGGATCGTAGCGCAGCGCTGTAACCCGCTATACCACCGCTCCTCACACATAAACACACTGCACACGCACAACAACATCAGCCATTCACAACTAAGTGGCGGTGACGTCACCACGGATATTGTGCCAGGCCAAGTGCACTTTAAGGCCAGGTGAAGTGTCGAACGCCCAGTTGGCAGGCGCTCACGGGACAGACCCAGCAGGTGCCATCACGGGTCGACCGACTGAGATGAGTGGCCGATGCACCACCTGTGCCCCCCACTGTGCCAACTCGCTGTGCTTTAGCCGTCCGGCGCTCCGCTCGTCGCTCCTCCGCCCTCCGTTTGTTGCTGGAGGCCGACTGCCTCCGAACTGACCCAGTACCAGAGGCCTTCACGACCCTCCTCCGTACACAAACACACATGCTGCACGCACGCACACACACACACACACACTCCACACACGCACGCGTGCAGGGGGGGGGGGGGGTGCGACAGCTGACCTGCATCTTGTCCTGGCAGCGCCTGCACAGCTCCTCGAGGGCGGGGTCGGAGTGCAGCGGGTGAGAGAACATGCGCCGCTCAAACGCCTCCACCTTCTGCACCAGCTTCTTCAGGCCCGGGTCCTTGATGCCCATGTCGTCCACCGGGTCCAGCAGCGGCACGCCGTCCGGGAAGCGCTTGTGCACCTCCTGGGAACGGCAGCGAGAGAGGGAGGGAGGGAGAGAGGGAGAGAGAGGGAGAGAGAGGGAGGGAGGGAGAGAGGGATGGAGGGAGGGAGGGATGAGAGGCGTTGGGGGTGGGGTGGGGAGAGAACTTGCGACGACGGTAGTTGTCCTCGTCACCACCGTCGTCGTCATCGTCATCGCCATTGTCATCGTCGTCATCATCACCATTGTCACCGTTGTCATCGTCATCACCATCATCGTCGTCGTCATCACCGTCGTCATCACGATCATCGTCGTCGTCATCACCGTCGTCGTCATCGTCGTCGTCATCACCGTCATCATCACCGTCGTCGTCACCATCATTGCCATCGTCGCGAAAAAAACCACAACAGGAATTTTCCCAGCGCACGCCGCACGTCAAGATGTCCGGCGCCGCGGCAGCGCGCGAGTCCTTCCGCACGGAGCCCGTGACGGCCGCGGCCGGGGGGGCCGTGAGGCAAGGCCCAAGGGCGTGGCGGGGCTCGCCCCTTTGGAGACATCCTCAGCACGGCACACACCGCCTCTGTGGGCAACCCGTGTCACACCAGAGACGTGTCGCGACGGCACGGCGGGAGGGACGATCGGCACGAGGCCCACGGAGGCAGCAAATGCGGCAGGCCGCAACGGGATGCCGATTGCGGCCGTGCTCTATCTACTGCTGGGTGAAGGCCTGCCCCCCCCCCCGCCGCCCCCCCCCACGCCACCCCCCCACTCGTCAACAACTGGAAACCATCGAACAAAAAAAACTATGCAGACCGCCAATCAAGATAGAATCTGCCGTTGTGCGCCAAAACATTGCAGACTCTGCAGCAGTAGCGTTCCGTGGAACACTTCCGACGGCCTGGGTCCGCCGAACCTACACGTTGGGGAACCGCCGCTCGAGAGGGGCTAGCGCAGCAGCGGCTCCCCTCCGGCGGGCAGCCGCTGCACCAGCAGTGGAGAGAGCAAGCCACTCGCGGAACCAGCGGCACCGCGCGGCGTCCAGGATCAGTGCGGGATCCCGAAAACCGTTTTTAAATTTTTTATATTTTACCAGTTAAGGCCCCACTGAGCTACGTAGCTCTTTTTCAGAAACGACTTGGCGATCGCAAGTGATAGCTCAGCCAAGTGGGCTTATCATCATCTTGTGGCCATTCATAGCGGCCAAATTCTCTACACGTGGAGGGAAAACCCGGAGGGGACCCCGGAGAAAAATCCACGCGACCACGGGGAGAGACGCACGCAAACTCCAAAATACAGCAGCAGGCGTCAGGGTAGGGGGATCGAAGCCACGAACCTCATGCAGACCAGGCGAGGTAGTTAACATCTCCTAGCCACCGTGGCGCCCAACTCTGGGGCGGCGGGGCCCACTCTTTTTGGAGGCCTCGGGGCCTACGTGGCCAAAACAAAACAAATCCCACTCCCTCCACCCCGCGAGCCGCGGCCGCAAATTTTTGGCAATGTCGCAATTTAACTTTTTGACATCTTAAAGGCGCTGGGAGGCGGGCGGAGGGGTGGGGGGTGGGGGGGTGGGGGAGGAGGAGAGGGGCCTGGCAACGCTGCTGGCGCTGCCAGGAGGAATTAGCGCCGCGATGCGCGACGGACGCTCGCCAGCGGCGGAACGCGGTGACGCGCTTGCGTGCGTGCGATGGGACCGCGCGCACGATGAGTGCGTCTTGTTTTGTTATGATTAGTAGAGCCCCCCCCCCACCCCCCCCACACCACCGAGCGTCATTACGACTCTTGCTCCAAAACAACGAGAGAGAATTGGTTCCAACTCAATAAGAGAAATGTTTGGGTTTTTTGGGGGTTTGTGTGTTTTGTTTAATTCGTTTGGCGAAACGGTCAAGAATAACACGGCGGCAGGCGAGCAGCTGGCGTGGGGAGAAGAGCGGAGTCGCTAGCTCGCTCTCCCTCCATTCTCTCTCTCGCTCCACTCTCTCTCGCTCGCTCTCCCTCCATTCTCTCTCTCGCTCCACTCTCTCTCTCGCTCTCTCTCCATTCTCTCTCTCGCTTCACTCTCTCACTCCACTCTCTCTCTCGCTTCACTCTCTCACTCCACTCTCTCTCTCGCTCCACTCTCTCTCGCTCTCTCTCGCTCTCTCTCGCTCTCTCTCGCTCTCTCTCGCTCTCTCTCTCTCGCTCCGCTCTCGCTCGCTCCACTCTCGCTCTCTCTCGCTCCACTCTCGCTCTCTCTCGCTCGCTCCACTCTCGCTCTCTCTCGCTCGCTCCACTCTCGCTCTCTCTCGCTCGCTCCACTCTCGCTCGCTCCACTCTCGCTCTCTCTCGCTCTCTCTCGCTCTCTCTCGCTCGCACACTCTCGCCCGCTCACTCTCTCACTCTCTCACTCGCTCACTCTCACTCGCTCACTCTCTCACTCGCTCGCTCTTTCTCGCTCTCCCCATCGAGCCCCACGCGAACGGTTCTCTACCTGCGGTAACGCCCACCGCTGGGGAGGAGTGGAGCGAGATGAGAAGGGAGAGAGAGTCAGGAGAGTGCGCGTGGAATTCCCCTTTCACCACTGTCCTACGATCGCTCCTTCCGAAATGGCCCCCTCCCCTCCAGCCCCCCCCCCCCACCTCCGTCCGGTCCGATAGCAGCGCCCCCCCCCCCCCACCATCATCATCACCCCCACAACGTCCTCCGTGCGCCAAAGGAACACGGGCAGGAAACACACAAACACCTTCCCAGCAGCAGAGAGAGCGAGCCAACTCCTTCCTCCACCCCACGCCGCCCCTCCACTCCTCAGGGGCCAAGGTCAGAGGCCTGCTCCCACCACCACCACCACCACGGCCGCCACCGGTGAGCGCCCACCGCCCCGCGGCTTCACCCGGCGCTCCGGCCGCACCGCGTGGAAGCAGCTTTATCAATTCTACAGCCGGACAGCTCCACCGCACCCCCCCAACCTGGGACAGATCTCCCCTCCCCTCCCCCCGCCATGGTTTAATGCGCGTGTTTCTGGACGACTATTTACGTACGTTCCAACTTCTCTGGCACCATACGTCGTAGCCAACCGTGCTAAACGCCGACGGCGGTGAGGGTGATGTCCCACGCACTCTCTCTCTCGCCTCTCCCCTCTCATCTCCCCTGCACACACTCTCTCTCGCCTCTCCCCTCTCATCTCCCCTCCACACACTCTCTCGCCTCTCCCCTCTCATCTCCCCTCCACGCACTGTCCAGCTGATCCCCTCTCATCTCCCCTCCACGCACTCTCCCGCCTCTCCCCTCTCATCTCCCCCACACACACTCTCTCTCGCCTCTCCCCTCTCATCTCTCCCCGCTCAATCCGTCAGTCGACAACCCTCCCCTCCTCCCACCTCCCATCCACTCGCTTCCCTCTACCCCCCGCCCCGGCTAAAGATCCCCATCGCTCTCCTCTCGCCCCCCCCCCCCCCCATCTCTCCCAGGGCCGGTCGTTTGATCGGTGGTGGTGGCGACGGCGGTTGTGGTGGCGGAGAGTGGAGAAGGGAGAGTGGAGAGAGTGGAGAAGAGAGAGTGGAGAGAGTGGAGAAGGGAGAGTGGAGAGGGGAGAGTGGAGAAGGGAGAGTGGAGAGAGTGGAGAGAGTGGAGAAGAGAGAGTGGAGAAGGGAGAGTGGAGAGGGGAGAGTGGGGAAGTGAGAGTGGAGAGAGTGGAGAGAGTGGAGAAGAGAGAGTGGAGAGAGTGGAGAGAGTGGAGAAGGGAGAGTGGAGAGTGGAGAGTGGACAAAGTGGAGAGTGGAGAGAGTGGAGAGTGGAGAGTGTGGAGAAGGGAGAGTGGAGAAGGGAGAGTGGAGAAGGGAGAGTGGAGAGGGGAGAAGGGAGAGTGGAGAAGGGAGAGTGGAGAGGGGAGAGTGGAGAAGGGAGAGTGGAGAGAGTGGAGAAGGGAGAGTGGAGAGAGTGGAGAGAGTGGAGAAGGGAGAGTGGAGAAGGGAGAGTGGAGAAGGGAGAGTGGAGAAGGGAGAGTGGAGAGAGTGGAGAAGGGAGAGTGGAGAGAGTGGAGAGTGGAGAAGGGAGAGTGGAGAGTGGAGAAGGGAGAGTGGAGAGTGGAGAGAGTGGAGAAGGGAGAGTGGAGAGAGTGGAGAAGGGAGAGAGTGGAGAGAGTGGAGAAGGGAGAGTGGAGAGTTTGGAGAGTGGAGAGAGTGGAGAAGGGAGAGTGGAGAGGGGAGAAGGGAGAGTGGAGAAGGGAGAGTGGAGAGGGGAGAGTGGAGAAGGGAGAGTGGAGAGAGTGGAGAAGGGAGAGTGGAGAGAGTGGAGAGGGGAGAGTGGAGAAGGGAGAGTGGAGAAGGGAGAGTGGAGAAGGGAGAGTGGAGAGAGTGGAGAAGGGAGAGTGGAGAGTGGAGAAGGGAGAGTGGAGAAGGGAGAGTGGAGAGTGGAGAGAGTGGAGAAGGGAGAGTGGAGAGAGTGGAGAAGGGAGAGTGGAGAAGGGAGAGAGTGGAGAGAGTGGAGAAGGGAGAGTGGAGAGTTTGGAGAGTGGAGAGAGTGGAGAAGGGAGAGTGGAGAGAGTGGAGAGTGGAGAGAGTGGAGAAGGGAGAGTGGAGAAGGGAGAGAGTGGAGAAGGGAGAGTGGAGAGAGTGGAGAGAGTGGAGAGTGGAGAAGGGAGAGAGTGGAGAGAGTGGAGAAGAGAGAGTGGAGTGGAGAAGGGAGAGAGTGGAGAAGGGAGAGAGTGGAGAGAGTGGACAGTGGAGAGAGTGGAGAGAGTGGAGAAGGGAGAGAGTGGAGAAGGGAGAGTGGAGAGTGGAGAAGGGAGAGTGGAGAGGGGAGAGTGGAGAGAGTGGAGAGAGTGGAGAGTGGAGAAGGGAGAGAGTGGAGAGAGTGGAGAAGAGAGAGTGGAGAGTGGAGAAGGGAGAGTGGAGAGAGTAGAGAGAGTGCAGAGTGGAAAGAGTGGAGAGTGGAGAAGGGAGAGAGTGGAGAGAGTGGAGAAGAGAGAGTGGAGAGTGGAGAAGGGAGAGTGGAGAAGGGAGAGTGGAGAGAGTGGAGAGAGTGGAGAAGGGAGAGAGTGGAGAAGGGAGAGTGGAGAAGGGAGAGTG